TTTATCTGTCTAAAGCGTACTGCCGTTTTTCTGACCTTCGGCAGCCTCATTCCTCGCAGTCTAGTTCTATTTACAAATCTTGATTTTTCGGCTCTCGCCTACTCCTCTTCCAGAGTTAGCCTCCGTAGGAAATAGCTCTGATTATATCTACTGTAAACCAAGAAGTTTTTTGAGAATTTAGTTGTCATGGTGCACGACGTAAACACTCAAACTTTCTTAGCTGCTCACAAAAATACAAAATTATTAACCCCAAATAACTTGATCCCAGAGTCACCTGGGCCGGTCAAATTCTGCGACCAACTTGTGAAATACTTTGCTAATAAAATCTGTGTTTCCAGCTTATTACTACTTCTTTTTTTCTGTGTTGTCCTGTCTGGTCAAAGGGAATCGCCCACATAGGCGACATGCCTCTAAATGGTGGTCAGCTAACTTATGGCTGATCCCGCAATAAGCTAATGAATCATTTCTTGTTCTTTTTCCTTTTCAGTATGGGCAGGAGGATACTGGGTTGTTCTGCAAGTGCTCTTATCTAGTAGGGTAATTTATGATCTATTGTAAAATGTGTGGCGATAAAATTGAAGTGTATGAGATACATTAACCATTTCTGTGTACTGGTGTTTAGATTCCTGTCCCGCACATCTGATCCACTGCTGCTAAGCTTTCCAAAGCTTCATCGAGTTCCCGCAAGAGGACCATAAACGGTTGGCAGAATGACATCTGTGTTAGGCTGCGTAATTTTCACTGGGAGCCATTCAACATTGGCGAAAGAAATGTCCACTGCTAAAGTGTTATCTTAATCAACAACGCCAAACTATCGCCTCGTCTTTTCAGTTGTGGCTATACAACGAGCCCCCATCATTCAAACATGTCAGTGCCATTATCGTGTACAGTGTATTCGATTACAAAAATATTTTAGGAAAGTGGTTGACCCATTCAGCCATCATTCAGATTTCGTCGAAGTATTTTTGCAGGCTCCCGCTGATGCTGAATGAATGATGAGTGAATTTGTGCTCACTGTCAACATCGAAAATATCTTTAGGCTCAGAGAAAGTTCGGACAGCGAAACAGCCAATTGCCGTGGGCGCATTTTTGGCTTTCTTCGGCAGAATCTTTCCAAGTTTCACTATAAAAATTCATAATCGTTGTTTTTTTCTTGCCGGTGTTCTCGCTCACCACACCACATTGCGTTCCCCGCCGCGGTTGTCTAGTGGTTATGGCACTCTACTGCTGACCGGAACGTTGCGGGATTGAATCCCGGCTGCGGCGGCTGCATTTAAGATGGAGGCGATCTTGTTTGGTGCCCCTGTGCTTAGATGCAGGGGCACGTTAAAGAACCCCACGTAAATTTCCGGAGCCCTCCACTACGGCATCTCTCATACTCAAATCGTTCTTTGGAGACGTGAAACCTCTGATATTATTAAATGAGAACGCATTGTGATTCAATCTTTTCAGATCACCATGAAATAAATATTCTCGGAGAGTGTCCGTCTTGGTTTATCCTCTTCTCAAACAAATCTCTTTCTAGGAAGAAAAACTATGAACACGCGCAATACGCCGGCAATACAAAACATGGAAAGTAACGTACATGTCAATACAAATGCATTGTAGGCGCGATGCGAAACAAATGGAGATATATAGCACTTTCTATAAAGTTTCAATAAATTTTGTAAAAGACAATAAAAGCCCTTTGCAGGACTTAAAGCGAAACCATCTTAGAGCATTAGACATACCACAGAAATAAAAAAAACGAAATGTTGAAAACAAACGCGTGTCGTACTTGTGTCGCTTTGAGGGCTGTTAGATAAGCTGTCGAAAGCTAGACAGACAATTCGCGCCTTTTTGGTGTCTTCACAGAACAAGGTTCTCTGAGGATTCCCCCAGTATGGAGACATTTCAGGTGGCGCGCTAAACCTCTCTAAATCCCGGTATTTGTTCATCGGCTATCCCAACTCCACACTTAGGTCCACATCTCTTCTTCAGCTGGCTGCGTCTCTTCGCATTTTAGGAATTCTATACAACCACTACGGCATTTGTAACTCCATTTGGTCAAACGCCCTCGATGAAGTAAAACAAGAAATTGAGAACGCCCGGCAATTCGACTTCCAGCTTCTTGAGCGGAGGTATCTTGCGCAGACTGTGTCCTGCGGTCGCATTTGATACCTTTCTCACGTGGAACAGCCGCCTTTACGCATCGTGAGGTCATTGAAGCCTGCCTTGTGTTTCTTCTTTTGGTCTGGCGGCACTGAGTTGGTTTCTCGTGCGGCGTTAGGACAGCAGCGTTCCCAGGGAGGTTTTGTTTTCCCTTCGGTATCAATACGCTGCCGGCTATTGGCCCTGCGCTTCCTGTTGCGCCTCGTACAAGGAGAGGAATCTCCCGCGCGAACTCTGGCATATTATTTTCTAGGCACTCACCTTCGGTATTTATTGCCTAATGTGTGCCTTAATCAGGGCCCACAATCATTTGTACTTCTTTCGTTTTATGCAACAGCTGTCGCATTTTTTCGTCATATCCAGTCGACTTGCCCTGATTTAGATGTGTTAGACAATTCTGTCGTTGACACAACAGCCGCGTTGTTGCTCCCGTTAGTTCCTCCAGCACGCCGCACCCGCTCTAGTCGTGTGTCTTGGAGCACGCTGACGGCATCATTTCTACCTGGCCACCTCCGGGATTTCATGTGGCGGCTTGGGTGGGGCGTTCTTCCTACCCTTGACCGCCTAGAAAGGTGGAGAATGGTCCAGTCATCAACATGTCCGAACTGCTCCCTACGGGAAACAAATCAGCATGTGTTAAGGCAATGTGTCGTTGCTCGTGTTTTCTGGAGGGCTGTGCATGCAGGATTTCGTGGCCTCGGAGTAAACCGCTTTGTTTCTTTTGGACGTTGTTCTCGAGGCCGCTTTGCCTGCCTTCTTATTGTTGCTGGTGCCTACTGTCTTTGGCGTAACCGTTGTGAAGCTGTTGCAGCAGGTCGTCGCCGCCGTGCTCTCTTCCCGATTTTGGAGTGACTGTATAAAGAAATAATATCTGTGTTGTCGGAGGAACTCTTCTTTCTGGGTGAGGAGGAATTCCTTCGACACTGATCCTGCCGTTTTGTGTTCATCTGTGAGAGACGTGTAAGACTTGTTTTCAGGCCTGCCTGGTATTGGTAGGTTAATCTTTGTTTAGTACTCATACAAATACCTTGTAAATACTATGTAAATATCTGACATATTAATCTCTACATTTCATTTGTGTGTTCTTCGTTTACCATGTATTGTGCATATGTAGATATTGTTTTTGTAACAATTCCTGTTTAGTTGGGTAAGTTGTGTATGTTGGGTTCCGTTTACATATGTACACATAATCTTTTGTAACAACTTTTGGTGTGTCTGTGGATATTGTGTTCTGTCGCAATGTTCTGTTGGATTGTAATTGATGTTCACTGTCTGTGAGAATAAATTTCTCTAAACACACCAAAGTGGACATATTCCAAAACAAAAATCAGCTTAGAGATGGACAAAACTACTCCATTGATGAGTGGCTTGGCACGGCTCAGCTACTGATGCGGTCCCCTCGCACCGTTGGGTTAGAGTGTACTAGAAGTACACTGTAGTTTGGTGTCGCCAGATGTCGAAGCTCGAGCCTTCCCTTTACCAGCCAGGTCAGGCCAGGTAAAGTAGATTTCTTGGGGGGCGCAGGCCTGAACTTTCGTGCTAGTGGCTGTGCCTGGGTCTGAGGTGGTGCTCGCTCTTTGCTGAGTTCTTGAGATCATTCTAGATGCGTTGTGCCGCGGCAGCACTATAGACAACGGCCGGACTCTGCATTCCGGCCGTAGTTGAGTATACCATCTGTATGTTCCACGTATTGTAACTAAAAACAAGTGCCTATTGTATGATCAAGCTATTTGGGAACGTTTTATCACAGACAAGTACAGAGCCCTTCTTGTTTAGCATATGCGGCTACCTGATGAACTAGGTGCTTATATAGTTATTCTCAATATAATTGTCTTCATTGCTTGCATTTGCTACTATTTTAAATCAGGAATGTAATTTTCTAATAGCAGTGATAATTGTAACAATAAATTTATATAATAAGTATATGCTCATTACTTATCATCGGAAGAGCGATCACAGAGCTCAGAGGCAGGGCAAAGTTGTTGAAAGTTCCCAAAGTCAACTAGACGAAAGGTCGGAGTGTATAGTCTCGTGAAGAATCGCTATGTAGACACGTTCTTTTTTCATGGCTCTCAGTGGGCATGTGACGTTACTTGGACATCCGCAGCCCAAATATTTAACGTCTCAGCTCTCGTCGTGTCCCTCTGTATAATGCGAGAGCTACATGATATTGTCGCAGCAGCATAGCATTGGTTCGTTCGGCAAGAAGTCGGGTCTAAGTATATTTGCTTGACGGCATATCTGGCTTGAAAAAAGTGTTACGAATTCCCTACCGGATGATGTCCCCTTACCTTGAACTGTATGCACGCAATGAGTAAGCGCCGAGAAGCTTATTCGCATCTTTACTTTACAGAATGGAACAAAACCAGAAAGCAGATCGAAATATCTCCATCCAGATCCGGCTAGTAAAACCAACATATTCAAATAATAAGAATATCTGGGGTTTTACGTCCCGAAACTAAGATATCATTAGGAGAGACGCCGTACAGGGGGACTTCGGAAATTTCGACTATCTGGTGTTCTTTGAATGTACTGAGATCGCACACTACATGGGCCTCTACCATTTCGCCTCCACCTAAATGCGACCGTCGGAGCCTGGATCGAATGCGCGCGACCTTCAAAGTTAGCAGGCGATGACGTTAACCACTGCTACATCGCGGCGGACTTCTCACGTATTCCGATCGCCACCCCTTCAATAGGTGGAACATCGTTAGCAAGGCGTGCACCATTAGAGCACGAAAAAAAAAAGTCATACGAACGGCTCATAATAAGTTTGTTCAAACATTCGTGAAAGTTGATGTGTTCATCTCTAATATGGCGTCATCTTTCAACGCTACGATTGCCTGTAGGAGCCCGACTCGCACCGGCGGTTTGTCACGGTGCGGCTCCCGGTGTACGTGACGCTGGCTTTCCCGGCATTTGTAGCAGCCGTGGGAGATGCGGCCCCTCGATGGACGAGCGTGGAGCGGCGCTCGCAGCTGGAGCTGAGCTTCGCGTACGGGCCGGCTATGTGGTCCGAACGGCCTCTTGGCACGCGAGCCCCACCGAAGGCGAAGGTTTCAGTGACTAGGGTGTCCCTAGCTCGCGATGGCAGGCTCAGTGTCCACTTGCTCACCAAAGCGCTCTTCCACGGTAAGTGTCGACATGACCAAGAAATGAAATTTTTTTTATCTGAGAGTTTGTGCCGGATCGCTACAGTCATTTCCGTGCTGTGGTGCGTGTGGCTTTAAATTTGAACTTGTTGTGAAAAACACTTGGCGATATTTTATAGAAACTTGCAAGTGCCAGGCACTGCGGCATAGGCGTGCTTACGGGGGCTTACGGGGGGGGGGGGGGGTAGGAGGCGACCGCCTTCCTCAAACCACCTTAGTAGTTACTAAGGCGCCGCGGACTTGGCGCCCTTAAATTGATACTCGTACTTCATGCTGTCCAAAGCCGACCAGCCTGCATTGAAGCAGCACTCTTCGTTAAAAGTATTATTACACTGTAAATAAAAGATGCAAGGCGCCATACCCCGAAGTCTCGGCAAGTCTTGTTGCTTGCGTGATATTCCCGGAAAAGGTCGCGCGTTGAGCCGACACTACTGCTATCTTCAAAACTTCGCTTGCCACGGCTGACTGCGTGATGTCATGCTCCCGAAGAGGCCCTCGCAATCCGAACTGCCGAACGAAAAGGGCAGCAGCAGTCACGTGCTTTTGCAGGGGCGGTGGGGTTTTTCGGTGACGCCGTCGTCTGAATCGCCACTCATGTGACCGCGTTGTTGAGAGCGAGCTAGAGTTCTTAATGTGCATTTTTATGCAGCTGTTGCACTTTAAAGATGATGCAGTGTGTTAGAAGCCTACAGTGAGTGTTGGTCTTGACGGGAGTTCATCGTTAGAACATAGCTCATTCACGACGGCATGGTTCGAACTTATTTTCGTTTCAAAAAGGAGGGCATGCGGAAGTTTCGGGTTACCTTGCGCATTCCCGAAACAGTTGTAAAAGCTCAAAGAATGCAAATCTCCGGAGAAGAAGCGCTTTGCATTACCCTTCAGCGGCTGGCATATCCAAACCGACCGAAAGATATTAAGGACTTTTTCCGACATAGCTTGACGATGTCGTCCTTGACGACAGAGGTCTTGAGACATATCAAGAGAAGTTATTCCACCTCTTGGACGACGTAAATAACCACAGCTGGCTCGTCATCGACCAGCTGGAGAACTTTTCGAAGGTAAGAAGCAATAAGAGCCACATGAAAGCTGCGTTTTGGAGATTTTGGTGTACCTGTTTCCAATAATGTTATTTTTCCAGGCCATTTACGCTAAAGGAGCCCGACCTACTAACTGTTGGGGCTTCATTGACGGCACTGCGCCTGCTAAATGCCAACCCACAAGACAGCAGCAGCTATACTTTAGGGGGCACAAAAAGTTCCATGCCCTAAAATACCAGGCAATAATCTGCCCTAATGGCATCATTTGCCATCTGGATGGATGTTATCCAGGCAGCAAGCATGATGCTGGTAAGATAAAAACATGTCGCATGCCTGAAAGTCACATTTTTTTCCACGTTCGCGTGGGAAGATCACGTCGAAAAGTACAAAATAAACTAAAATTCTTAGACGAAAGACATCACACTGTGTATCGAAATAACGTGTTTTAAGTTTACCTATGTGTACACGTTGCTTTTTATCCTAGTCTTTGGTGTTTTATTTGTGGGCCTTTCTGTTTTCAATTCTATTAATATGGTTAACGCTGATCCCTGATAAACATCTATATTGTAAGATGGAAAAATAAAGTACGTTAAATGAGCAGGTGCACTGAAATCCTGCGATGGCATCTTGCTTACTCTGTTGATGCTCTTCTATTTTCTAACACACGTGTAAGAAATGTTTGATCAGGAGGCGTAGTAGTGCTAACACACTATTTAATTTCACTTTTTTCTCAGGCAACTTTGGCAATAGCCTGGCTTACATGAAGCTCGAAAAGCTCGTGCACTTCTACTGCATTTACGGGGATCCTGATACCCACTGCGTGTACTACTGCTGAAAACTTACGGTGGCGCATCACTGACACCAGAACAATGCAACTTCAAGAAGGCAGTGAGCAGCGTGAGGCTGACCGTAGAATGGGAATGACGATAGGTATAGCGCGAGAACAAAACGACGACACAGAGACAAGAAGGACACGAAAACACTTCTTGTCTCTGTGTCGTCGTTTTGTTCTCTTGCCCCGCCGCAGTGCTCTAAGGTACTCGGCTGCTGACCCGCAGGGCGACGGTTCGAATCCCAGCTGCGGCGGCTGCATTTCCGATGGAGGCGGAAATGTTATAGGCCCGTGTGCTCAGATTTGGGTGCACGTTAAAGAACCCCAGGTGGTCTAAATTTCCGGAGCCCTCCACTACGGCGTCTCTCATAATCAGATCGTGGTTTTGGGACGTTAAACCCCACATATCATCATCATCATCGTTTTGTTCTCGCGCTATAACTATCGTCATGCCATACCACCTAGCCCAAGCTGCCACACTTCGTAGAATGGGGTTTTGGTAAGGTTGCTGTGCTTCGTTTTCTTTGAAAAAACAAACAAATAAAACAAAACAAAATATTTTTCGTCAGGATGTGTAGAGTGACTGACTTGCTGGCAAACTGTCAGACTTGCCTATGGCCACACTTGCACAGGTCTCGCACTATTTTGACCAAGAACCACCGTGCTTGGAAGTGCGCTAAACCACCCGTTACATTTTGTACTTGCTTATGGAAACAATGAAGTCTGTAACACACCAACACTGTTTTTATTCATGTGCCTCCCAGTCATTCTTCTTGCTAGGTCACCTATTTCGTTGCTGAATTTTTCGATTGCATACAACACTCTTAACCAAGTGCAGGTGTTCCTGTTGCCGATTGATCACCTGAAATTCGTGTTGTCTTTCAGCAAGCGCCAGCTTGCGCTCCTCCAGGTGAAGATGCCTCTGTTCATTGGCAATTTTTTTTTCAGTCTCGAGGTTATTGTGCTACAGCTCAAGTTCACGCGTTTGACGCATGGTCAACGACTGTAAGTCTATGATTTGAAGGCCTCCGATTCCTGCAAATTTAGAGAAATGAGGTGATTCAATTAGGCTGTGCACATACACATATCACGTATCATAGAAAGCCTAATCGATGAACTCGTAACACAAACACAAGCCTTTCGTTCTATGCTGTCGAACATGAATTAGTGATTGTGATCACGATGATTAGAACTTTATTGTGGTCTAGAAGAGGGGCACTTACGTTTTTACATTTCTGGTGTCTTCTCGCCTGCCGTAACCAGTCATGAGGTAGACTAGATCTTTCAGGCCTCTGAATTTGAGCTGCTGGCCTACTACGCGTGTCAAGTTGTCTAATACTTCAATCCGCTGTATGTCGTCCCCAAAGGATTCGCCACTTTAACTTCTATTAAAATTGCTAGGTCCTCCTCTGTCGTGAAATATCGTCGGGGCTCTTTTTTCTTGTAGCCGAAGTTCCGCCACACTTGGGGGTGTCCCCGGGAAAGTATCGCCACCACTTGTGAAGGGGGCTGCCAATTGGTTCTTCATTGTGTGGATTGCGCTCCTGAATACGCTCGCAAGCTCGTCCGCTGCGCACGCTTCGCTGAAGAGAAGAAATCAGCGGGTCAGCGGCTCGCTCCGTAAACCGACCGGATTTTCCAGCAGAGTGCACATGCGCAGTTCACCTCTCCTGTCACCCGCTGATCCGCTGCGCCGATATGAGCGGGGGCGTGGCTCGTGCCGCGCATGTGCTGTTGGTGTCTCCCCTCACTCGCTGGGCTCGCTAGCCCGCTGAGCCGCTCAGCTATTACCGTAATAGCTGAGCGGCTCTAGTAAAACACTCACTGGACGCATCAACGCGCTCAATCGATTGATTGATATGTGGGGTTTAACGTCCCAAAGCCACCATATGATTATGAGAGACGCCGTAATAGAGAGCTCCAGAAATTTCGACCACCTGGGGTTCTTTAACGTGCACCTAAATCTGAGCACACGGGCCTACAACATTTCCGCCTCCATCGGAAATGCAACGGCCACAGCCGGGATTCGAACCCGCGACCTGCGGGCCGAGTACCTTAGCCACTAGACCACCACGGCGGGGCTCGAGGCGCTCAAGTGTCTTCCTTTTGGGCACCTCTTTCAACGAACGCTTCCTACATGCGTTCGTAATCCATTCAGGGATGTCGCCACCGCCTTCGTGCCTTCAATGCAGCACAAACGTGTTGATAACACGTTGTTTTCAGGATGTGCAGCACAAACGCTACAAATGCGTCTCAAACACACTGCATTAGGGCGGTATCAGGTTACGTTCAAGTCAACGAGGTGAGGGTTCCGGTTGCTAGGGGCGAGGATAAGCGCGCACCAGCAGCTGTGGCCGTGGGAGAGGGCAGTGTATAGTTCCCGACCAACGCAGTGACTAGAAAATGCGTTCACATTTAAAAGTTTCGCTTTTCCAGCTCATCTCTCAGATGGCGGCGGCCGCTCGGTGCGTCGAAAATCGGCGTGGGCGCCCCGTGTGGTGGTCTGGTGAGACTGTTTTCACAACAAATCCGTGGAGGGCAGAGCTACAGCAGAGCAGCACCTTGAGACCGTAGGCATCATTTCTCTTTTTTTTCGTTACGGCGCGGTGCTCACCCTTCTCGTTTTTTTCTTCCCTCTCTCTTTCGCTTTGGTGGGGCTAGCGTGGCACAAGCGCCATTCGTTTGCGGCCTGCGTGCGGTGATTGCGGCTTGTTCTGCTCTGTTCTGTCGGTCTGCTTTGTTCGCGGCATGCGGGTTTGTATTTCGCTTGTGGCTGGAGGTGTGATGCAACATTGCACGAGCCTTCAGACCGAGAGAATGGAATATAAAGGTATCTTCAAGACAGACAGACAGACAAAGAACTTTATTGGGTCCTGAGAAACGCTGCTCCTTTAGAGCGACGTCGCGGGCCGCTCCCACGTAGCCGCGTCGTGGGCTCTCTGGACAGCCCGTAGTTGTGGTAGCAACTCTGAACTTCGTAAGGCAGAGTCCTTATATCGTCTTGAGGATGGGTTTATTGGATAGTGAGGAACCGGTTTATTCGGCCAGGCTGGAGCTAAATCACGCTGTTGATGATATTTACGACGGCGAGACGTGTCGTAGTGAGATTTT